CCTGTGTTGCAGTTTTCCTGTAGCACATTGACTCGTCGTTGGGTTTTGTTTGTCATCGCCTGTGTTGCGGTTTTCCTGTAGTGCATGGACTCGTCATTGTTTTTTTTTCGTCATCACTTGTGTTGCGGTTTTCCTGTAGCACATCAGCTGCACATGGACTCGCCGTTGGGTTTTGTTCGTCATCGCCTGTGTTGCGGTGAGCTGTTTGGTCATGATGCCATGTGTTCGTCTTCCGTTGTCTGCGGTTTTTTACCTGGCAATCTCTCCATCAGGAGCAGGAAAGTGAGCCTGACAGGAGCAAAGGGGATGCAGAAACCCAAGCAAAAGAAGCGACAAAGACTGCGCTGCAGGGAAGACAAGTTGTGCCGGTGCGAAGTACAGATGCGCAAAAAGGAGAAGGCAAGAGCGGCTCCCCAAGTGCGAGAATGGCCGACAAGCGCGGAAGTGTGCCTGCTAGAAAACTCACAAAGTCTGCGACGGTGGGGCGATGCGACTTCACGAGTGGGCAAGACAGTGTGGTGAGGGTGCAAGGGAAGCCTGAGAAGGGCTCCTGCATACGGAAGGGGGTAGAGGAGAATGTGCAGGCACATGGCAAGAGACAAGGAGATGTGGTGTCAAACATGGGGAATCCTATGAGAGGGACATCAACGAACGGGCACTTCCGCGATCAGCGTCGGAAGAACGGCTCTACCACCTCTGGTGCAGGGAATGTGACCTCCGCATTACCTAGGAGTTTGAGCATTGGACCTGGAACAGGGACTCACAAGGACAGGTGTCCTCTGATGAGTAACCGCAGCGGCAGCGCTGAAAGGAGACCGAAAGTGCAAACAGCAGCCGGTTCCTCCGTGCGAGAATTTGCACATGAGGTGACAAATGACATCTTGTTTCAGATGACAACCCCACACAGTAGGGTGTCTATTCCTGCTCTGATTTACCATGGTGTAATGTCAGGCAGGGCCCAGGATGTGATGATGCTCTCCGATGCCTGCAACAGTGGATGGATCGAAGCAGTAGTCGGGGCTCCGCGCGCAGTTCCCCCTAAGGTGCCTTGCAGAAGTACAATCATTGGCAGTAATGATCTTTCGTTAGGGACGAGGAATGGTCTGCACCATGCCTTCCCTTTGCATAAGAGCAAAAGTATGGAGTTCAGCGGGATGTCGAGTCCACTAAATGGTCTGCATCATGCCTTTCCTTTGCCCAAGGGCAAAGGTTTCGAGCGCAGTGTGTCGGCAAGACACCCTGCGCGCTTCATTTGCGAAACAATGCATGTGAGAAGTCACATGGTTGGCCTTTTCCAGAAGGCAATCGATAAGACACCGGCAGCCACATCGCATCTCTGTGCTTGAACGAAAGGAAGAGTCAAAACCTTTCTGTATGAAGGCTTGTCATGATTAAGTCGTCGTTAATCATTTCCAACTCAGTTCCGTTCAATAGAGTCGCAAGTGGCTTGTGTGTCTCGAGACAACAACAGCAGGAGGGAGGTAAGCAGATTACATTTCAGTGTTTTCACCAGTTATTTCAGGTTGGTGAGCAGTGATGATTATCATGTCATATAGGTCGTCCCGGTGGATGGGATGTTCAGCTGCGAAGGTTTTTCGCATGATTATCATGTCATAGGTCGCCCCGGTGGATGCGATGTTCAGGTGCAAAGTTCCTTTGCATGATTATCATGTCATAGGTCGGCCGGTGGAGGCGATGTTCAGGTGCGAAGGTCTTTTGCATTCAAATGCCAAGGAAAAATAGGGTGAGTAGAGGAGGGGAAGAAAGAGGCAGCTGCAAACTCAGTAAAGAAGAGTGCAAGGTCACCTGGACACCTTTTATATGCAAGATGCAGAAAACTGAGAACAGGAAGTTTGATCAGATAGTACAGAAAACTGGTATGGAGACTCCCATGGATTCCTTTATCCGGATGGTCGGCCCCCTTGTTACACAGCCAATTGACTTTCCCGACGAGATACACAGACTGAGTGATCTCTGTCCATATGATACACTTTCTCCCCCTTCACCCCCCTCCCCTCCCTCTCCTCCCCCCTTTCCCCTGGCCCCCGAACCAAGCCGCATGGGCATTCAGTGCTGGATATTGTGGACTGCCCGTTCTTAGAATGATCTTAGAACCTATTTATGAACCCCGCTTTTCCACTTATTTACATGGCTTCAGACGGGGACGTAGTGCTCACACGGCCCTTAATGTTATAATGGACGCGGCCCGTAATGTTATAATGGGCACCTTTCATGGTTCTGGTCCCCAAACCAAGCCGCATGGGCAATCGGTCCTGGATATTGTGGACTGCCAGCTCTCTTACGCAATGAAAGACATGGTGCTGTGAACGGCTGCTGCTCCCGAGTAGAGAGAGAATTACTGTGTTCTACGTGGTGCTGTTTAAGATGCAGTAGATGAGGTTTCCCCGGCGCTTCACGGGAACTTAAGAAGCTAGTTGAAGATGCAGTAGATGAGGTTTCCCCAGCGCTTCACGGGAACTTGAGAAGTTAGTTGAATGCCAATCGGAGGAGGATGCATCTGCTATTATGCTGTCTCAGCGGTCTTCCACATTCCGGGAGTTGTGAATAGCAAGCTTCACCGGAGCTTGGGAAGCTACTTGAACACCAATGGGAGGAGCATGCTATTCTGCTATTCTGCTATTCTGCTGTCTCGGCTGATGGGAGTTGTGAATAGCAAAGCTTCACAGGAACTTGGGAAGCTAGTTGAACGATAATGGGAGGAGGATGCATCTGATGCATCTGCTATTCTGCCATCTCGGCGATCTTCTATGTTTCGGGTCTGGAAACTCGGCGGGGTTCCAGCAATCTTCCAGGGTTCACATGTGGTCGGAATCATGGGTGCTGGAGCCTTTGTTGATAACCGGATGAGGATGAAGCCCGAGTAGGTCCCATCCCGAGATCATGTCGCTGCCCTGCAATGCTTTCAATCAGTCGTCCTATCAGTCAGTTGAAAGCAAAGAACCCCTGATGTGCCACAAGCGGGAAACGTGGAAAGCAGATGGCAGTCGTAGTCTGTCGTTCTCTGATGTGCGGCGGGCAAGCGGATGGCAGTGCCGGTCTGTCTGTGAACGGTTCGTGTTTATCTGTGGGTGGGGGTCTGTACAGGGAGAATGGCGCATGTAGGCTCGCAGGGCGTGAGTTTCCTTTGGGGAGCCATTCAGAAAGGTGCTCAGGGGGAGGGAGGGGATAGGACGAGGAGAAGCAGATAAGGGTAGTGGCGTACTGCCCGCACCCTTATGGACAGCGGAAACTGGATAAGGGCAGTGCCTTATTTCTTCTCCACAGCCTATATTTGCTTGTTTCGACCGATTATCTGTCTGCATACATACAATAAGTGTGTCCCGATTCGTTCTCGGGATGACGATGAGCTGTGTCTGGCTTATGTGTCCGGGGAGAAGCAGCACATCCGATTGCGGCATCAATCTGCCAGAGGTTGCACTCAGGTCTGCGATGACTGTACCCCAACTCCCTACAAGAGTTTTTTTTTTGGTCTGCTTCTCTAAAGGCATGAGCTTTTGTCAATCTGTGTCCTCATATCTATGAATGATCTCTTTCTGTTTGCTCTTTACACTCGTCAGAGTTTGCGACATGTCTTTCACCATGGCGGAGTTTGTGCAGGAAAGTCTTTCACAGTGGCTGAGTTTGTGCAGTCTTTCACCGTGGCGGAGTTTGTGATGCGTCTTTCACCGTGGCAGAGTTTGTGCAGTCTTTCACGCGTCAGAGTGTGCGACGCGTCTTTCACAGTGGCGGAGTTTGTGCAGGAAAGTCTTTCACAGAGTCTGCGCGTTTTCTCGAGCCTTTTCGTATGCTCTTTGTGTGTGTCAGAGTTTATTAGGTGTCCTTCACAGTGGCGGAGTTTACGCAGGGAAGCTCCGCTCAGCTACTCGAGTCTTGAGGGTGTGTTATCGGGCTTTTTGCAGGGAGGTAAGTAAGATGTGTGAATTACCCGGGGAAAGTTTGGCAGTGGGAGTTCGCTGAAGACATCAAGCTCGGTGTGGGAGGGATTCGTATACCTTCCCTAAGGGCATACTCACACTAGGACCTATTGTACTAAGCTGTGGACGTGGCTGTGGTCAGATTCATCCAGGCAGGTTTGGCCGTAATTGCAGTCATGTGCATTTCGGAAGTGCGAGTGTGAGTATGCCCTACCACTTGCCGCAGTTTTGTGTGACCCAAAGGGAATGTAAACGGGTGCGTGACCACCCAGGGGGCGGATGACGCGAAGAAGGATGCGTAGCTGCGTCTTACGGCCCGGAAGATCATGGAACATTTATAGCTCTTGTCCACTTTGACACACTGTTTGTAGCTTTCACTTCTACACTTTTTCAGACTGACCGGGGGGGATGCACTTCTCGAACTACCGGTATGTCTGACAACTGCAATGTTTCTCTGTCAGCCCTCGGATCTCCAGGGATGAACGGAGATACGCTTCCGGCCAGCCATTAAAAAAAAAAAAAGCCGTATCCTGCTGAGTCAGCCTCTGCGCTTGCTGAGTCAGCCTCTGTGCTCGCTGCGCTAATAATTCAGGTTGTCGCAGGGAGCCTCTGTGCTCGCTGGTCTGTGATGCAGGTTGTCGCAGGTCTGATTGAGACAGGGTCGAGTCAGCAGGGAGGAGGTGGTGGTCAAACATGCAGTCTGATGGTCTGACGGTCTGACCTTGATCAGCCAATCTGTGGTCACTGCACTGAGTTCCAATCGCTTTAGTGTCAGTACTGTTGCCAGCATTTACTGTCAGTCACTGATCCAAATTGCTCGTCTCAGTTTACTGTCATCAGTTACGGGACTCAGTTGCTGTACTTGGTTGTTGTCAGTACTGTTGCCAGCATACAAGTCAGGTTGTGTGACATGGGTAATGGGAATTGTGAATAGCAAGGTAGGAGCTGCGCAGAGCACAGGAGTCTGCCAAGTGGAAAATCGATGTATAGAGTCTGACACCTCAGCTGTGCTGTTATCAGCTCACTTCACTTAGTTTCCATTGCGTTGCGGAAAATGGTGGTTGTTCCCATTTACTGTTCTCTGTAACTGTTTCTCTGTTACTTTTCCTTGTTACTGTTCTCGGTTACTGTTTCTCTGTTACTGTTTTCTCTGTTACTGTTCTCAGCTCACTTTGCTTAGTTTCGATTGCTTTGCGGAAAATGGTGATTATGCCCATGTATTGTTCTCTGTTACTGTTTCTCTGTTACTTTTTCCCTGTTACTGTTCTCTGTTACTCTTTCTCTGTTACTGCTCTCTGTTACTGCTCTCTGTTACTGCTCTCAGCTGCTGTTATTGGTTACTTTGCTGAAAATGGTGATTATTCCCATTTACTGTTCTCTGTTACTGTTCTCAGCTGCTGTTATCAGCTACCAACTTACCACTGATCAGCGTCCGAACAATCACGGTGCTTCGCTATTTCCATTGCTTCGGTGAAAACGGTTATTATTTTCGATTTAATGGTCTCAGCTCCTGTGCTCAACTGCCGTAGTCCGTTACCACTGATGATTCTCAGGTACTGTTCTCAGTGATTGTACTGGAGATATTCACTCCTTGATAGGGGCTCAGCGGAGAACGAGTCTCGGGTGTATACAATTCGCCGTACTTTTCCATGCACTTTGCGGCTAACCTAAGAGATTTTGCACCTTCCATTTCGGCGCATGAATTTGGGTACTTGTGAACCACCCTGGCACTGACAGACGTGGAGAAAAAAGATTCAGATAGAGTCAGAACAGCTCCAAGAAGAGCTGGACAGCTCTGAGGAGCCTCAGAATGCATTCCTTGATAGGGGCTCAGCGAAGAACGAGTCTCGGGTGTAATACAATGCGCCATAATTTTCCATGCAATTTGCGGCTAACCTAAGAGAGACTTTGCATCTCCATTTCGCTGCATAAGTTTGGGTACTTGTGAACCACCCTGCCAGTGACAGACCTGGAGAAAAAAGATTCGGACACAGTCAGAACAGCTCCAAGAGGAGCTGGACAGCTCTGAGGAGCCTCAGAAGAGGCGGCCTGAATCTGAGACAGCGTCATGGACCGGATTCATCGCCGTCATGTCTGGTAGGAACTGAGATGGGAACAAGTGGGTCATGTCTGGTATGAACTGGGACGGGAACAAGTGGGAAGGGAGGAGACGTCGCGGGAAGGGACAAACGACGAGGCCAAGGGAGTTGATTGAGCTGGTCCGTTGCAGGGATTCCTTAATCGGGGATGTGAGAAGTTGCTACATTTTCCTAACCAAGATGTGAAGAGGTGCTACATTTTCCTGAACAAGACAAGGATAACGATAAGCTAACAAGGGGAAGGAGGTGATGGCAGCGGGCACAAGATGGTTTATCACGGTTCTAAGACCTTGGTGTGTAACTTCATGAGATCCATTGTTTGTGTTAGGGGTTCAGGGTGGGAGGCGACGGGGAAGAGGGTTTAGGGTGGGAGGCGACGAGGAAGGGGGTTTACGGTGGGAGGCGATGGGGAAGGGGGTTTGG